GGAGGAGGAGGAGGGGAAGGAGGAGGAGGAGGAGGAGGAGAAGGAACACGAGGAGGAGGAGGAGGAGGAGGAGGAGGAGGATGAGGAGGAGGAGGAGAAGGAGGCGGAGGAAGAGGAGGAGGGGCACGAGCGGGAGGATGAGAACGAGCTCGACGAGGAGGACGAAGAGGCGGATGTAGCATGGGTTTGACGCCCCGACGAGTCAGGAGCCAGCGAACCGACCAGAGCTCGAGCCAGGACGCACGACCTCCCCCCGGGTCGTCCCAGAGCGGGGCGACAGAGAGAATGCCGTACAAGCTGACCAGGCCGCTCCGGCTCCCTGGCGAGCCTTCCTTGCACGCTCGCTCCCACTGCCACGTCGCTGCCCTTCTCGCACGGGCTGCGACTTCACCTCGGACTCGCCCTGAGCCCATCGCTGTAGCGGATGACTTCGGGCTCGGCCTTGAACTTCGGCTTCCAGCCTGCTCTGGCGACGTCGGGCTGCAACTTCGCCTCGGATATGCCCTGAGCTCAGCACAGAAGGTGATGACATCGGGCTCCTACCCACACGACTCCGGCACCCGTGTCCATCCCTCCGGTTCCTGCGCTCATCCTTCGGATTCCTGTTGTCGTCTGTCCGATTCCGGCCCCTACGGCTTCGGTTCCACATGGTTCGAAATAGCACACGATCAGCAATGGCACGAAGGTCTTCACGAGCATGCCCTCAATTGCAGGCATGATTGGTTTCACCATCCCCAGACAGCACGTGTCTCTTCGACTTTGCGCTCACGTTCTCATTAGATACAGCACCTGATTAAGAAACCTCATCCGAAAAGTTGGGCCAACGTTTCTTAACAAACTTGCCCGAAAGTTTGCCCAGGTTCGTGAGCGCGTTCGCCTCTCCAGCGTTAAAATCAGAAGTTGGCCCAGGCTGTTTCAAAGAAACGTTTGGGAAACTGGCCCAGGATTCTCGACTCATGATTTTCTTGATGATTTCGGCTGTGCGGCTGCATGGCTCCGATTCCGTCTCCCGTCCGACTCTGGCTCCCATCTATCCGTCTCCCGTTCCAGCCCACCCGGAACGAACTTCACCAACGCCGCGGCCTGACCCCTCTCTGGGCCCCGGCCTGCCCGCGCTGCCTTCGTAGGTGCCGACGGTGCGCGTTCGCTCGCTTGCTTCCTTCTCAGAGCCGGCAGAGCGTGCTGCCCCCCTGCCCCCGCTGCGGGGCCAAGGCTCGGAGATCAGTGCAAACGTGGGTCAGCCGGAGCGCCAGATCTTGCAGGGATCCTGCAGAGCCAGGGCTGCATCCAACCAGGCTTGGGTGCAGGATCCTGCAGGATCTCGCAGGATCCTGCAAAGCCCGACTGACCCGGGTCTGGATTGACCCGGGCCAGTAGATTCCGGACCCTCGGCCTTCTCGCATGCGCCGGTCTCCGCGCTGCTGTCTGGCGACGTCGGACTGCGACTTCGCCTCGGACATGCCCCAATCCCAGCACTGAATGTGACGACAACAGACTACCGCTTCGCACGGCTCTCTCTATCGCTCTCTTTCTCCCTCTCTCGCTCTGGGTAGGGGCACACTGCGCTACCTATCCTCGACATTCTCGCACGTGCTGGTCTCGTGGCTGCTGCTGCTGGCGACGTCGGGTTGCGACTTCGCCTCCGACGTGCCCTGATCCCAACGCTTTAGCTGATGACGCCGGGCTCGTCCTTCGCCGTCCTCTCGCCCCTGATGGCACCCATCGGAAATTTAGTTGGGATGGCATCGGGCTCCAGGTTCTCCTTCCTCATCGCGCGGCGTGGCGACAGAGATGCCTGCCACCGCTCGCCCTTCTTGCACGACTTCGGGCTCGATCTCCGCCCGTTCGCACGGGCGGCTCCCATCGTTGTTGCTGATCGTGGCCCACCCGCACGCTTTTCGCAGCACCAGCCCCTGCTGCCAATGCTTCCTTCGTTCGCGCACGGGCAGCTCCCAGCGCTGCTGATCGTGGCCCACCCGCGATCCTGTTGCAGCACAGGCGCCTTCCTCCACTGCTTGCCTTGCAGCATTGGTTGGTCCATACGCTGTAGCTGATCATGGCCCTTCGCCCCTCGCATTGCCAGCGTCGGCTGCCACTGCCAGCTCTTCTCGCACGGCACGCCTGGGGGTTCTGCCCTCCAGCCGCTGCCGCTTCCTGCCTGCATTCTCGCAGCGGCGCCCCGGTGGCTGGCGCTGCTGCTCGCCAGGATGACGAGGGGAAAGGAGAGGAAGGAGGGCGAGGAGTAGGGGGCGGGACCAGGGGTCGGACGAGGCCGAGGTCCTTGGCGACGGCGGGAGCCTGGCTTCAACATTGCAGCTGATGTCGCAGGGCCCTACCTTTCCTCATGACAGCTCCTTGGCGCATCGCCACTCTGAAGTTGACGCGCCTGCACACCCGCGCAAGGGGGGTCGCTTGTGCGCGAAATGGCTTGAGCGAAAGGAGGAGGAGGAAGAGGAGGAGGAGGAAGAGGAGGAGGAGGAGGAGGAGGAGCCAGAGGAACAGGAGGAGCAGGAGGATTGATTTGGAGTTTGTGCCCGTTTGAGTTTGTTGGGGGCCTCTCGACGCCCCGTGCGAGGACCTCCTGAGGCCTCCTAAGGTCCCCAGAGGCCCCCCAGACAGTGGAACAATTGTGTATACGCTTGCCATCTCAGGGCCATGAGATTGCACAGTGGGCACATCAAACATCAGGTGCCCCACTGAGTTTTCTTATCTCACGATGACCCCAGGGACCCACAGAAGCCCTGGGGCACCTGCGGACCCTCAAAGATCGACGGAGAGCGTGCCACAATCTTCAACTTTCTGCAGCAAGCAGCAAGAATTCTTACCACACGTCTGACGTCTTTCTTGTTCGGGGGTGGACAGAAACCCCACCCTGACACGTCGATCAGTGAATTGTCCGTTTTCGGTTCTCGAGAGGGCGCGCGGCCGTCGTTTTCCAGGCTTGCGCCCGACATGTTTGGGCCCGAGGTCGTTTTCACTAAACCACGTTTTACTAATAAAAGGGGTTCTGTCCATCCCCGAATTGTATACACCACTCCAGGGGCCAAGACGGTCTTTGGCAGGGACGGTGGTGATTTCGAGCTATCCAGCTGCCGTCTCCGAGCACCCTGGCCTCCTCGATTCTTCCATGACAGACGCATCCTACCTCTGCAAAGCTTTCGTCGCACAGAGGGTCATTGGCTCATTTCTCTGAAGAATAAATCATTGGAGCAAGATGTCATGCAAATGATAGAGAGAGAGAGAGAGAGAGCGTGATCCACCGCCGCTTTACTGTGGAAAATTTCCCCCCCTCTTCCTCCGGAACCCAGGAGTCTCCCCCCCACTTCGAAAATCCCCCCCCTGCTGAACCCCCCACCCATTCCTCCCGGCAACCCCCCCCCCCTTACCCCTCCCCCCCCCCCTCCAGAAAACGGGCGGGGTTCACTACCGGTTCGAACACCCCCCGCCCCCCCCTCCTCCAGAAAACCGAGGGGGGTCACTACCGCGAACGCCCCCCCCCTCCAGAAAACCGGGGGGGTCACTACCAGTTCGAACCCCCCCCCACACTCACCGCCGGCAAAAGACTCCCGGGCCCCCACCACCGTCCGCACCACATCCCCCACTGCTGTCCCCAGCACCACTGTCCCACCACCACTGTCCCCACTGTTCCCACCACCGTCCCCACTGTCCCCACCAGTGCCCCCACCACTGTCGCACTGTCCCCACTGTCCCCACCACTGTTCCCACCACGGTCCCACACTCCCCACTTTTCCCACGGTCCCCACCACTGTCCCCACTGTCCCACTGTCCCCGCCGCCGTCCAACTGAGCTGTCCCACTGTTCCCACCACTGTCCCCACTGTCCCCACCACTGTCCCCACTGTACGTCTGTCCCATTGTCCCATCACCGTCCTTGCCACCGCCCTCACCACTGTCCCCAGCACCACTGTCACCACCACTGTCCCACTGTCCCCACCACATTCCCACTGTTCCCTCACCACTGTCCCCACCACCACCGTCCCCACCAGTATCCCACAGTCCCCACCACTGTCCCCACTGTTCCCACCATTGTTCCCGCTGTCCCCACCACTGCCCCCACGAGTGTCTCACTGTCCCCACTCTCCCCACCATTGTCCCACCACGGTCCCACTCTCCCCATTTTCCCACCGTCCCCACCACTGTCCCCACTGTTCCCACCACTGTCCCCACCACTGTCCCCGCCGCTGTCCCACTGTCCCCACCACTGTCCCCACTGTCCCCACCACTCTCCCCACTGCACTACTGCCCCACCACCGTCCTCACCACATCCTTCACCACCGTCCCCACCACTACGGTCCCCACCACTGTTCCACTGTCCCCACCACTGTCCCGCTGTCCCCTCGCCACTGTCCCCACCACCACCACCACTGTCCGCCCCCCTGTCCCACTGTCCCCACACCACTGTCCCTACCATCACCTTCCCCACCACTGTCCCAGTATCCCCACCACTGTCCAACTGTCCCGAGGAGCGGGAATCGTTTGCCGGCGGCGAGGGGGGAGGGGGGGTTCGAACCGGTAGTGACCCCCCACGGTTTTCGAGGGGGGGGGTTCGAAGCGGTAGTGACCCCACCCCCCTAGTTTTCGAGGGGGAGGGGGAGAAAGGGGGGTGGGGTTCGAACCGGTAGTGACCCCCCCCTTTTCATGATGGACTGGGGAGGGGGTTCGAACCGGTAGTGACACCCCCCGGTTTTCGAAGGGGGGGGGACGGGTTGGGAACCCCCAGTGACCCCCCCAGTTTTCCGCCAGCAGCGGTAGAACACGCTCTTTCAAATGATACGATCTCAGATTTCCACACGGGCTGGAGAAACGAGGGCCACTAGTCTACTTTGGAAATCCTGATTCGCATCCTAAGCCAATCCTATCATGACATCATTCTCGTCCTGAACAAATCCAAATTTCAATCCCCGCCCTCCGCGGCGCCGCGTCTTGGCCAAGAAGAGTAGGCCAAAGCCTCGCCCCCCCAGCGCGCGCGGGCGGCGCGAGGCGTTCCTGGTTTCCTTCGGGGCCGGCGACTCTGAGGCCTGCGCCAGGGGGGGAGGAGAGGTGGGGAGAGCGGAGGGCCTTCCTCCTCAAGAGCCTCCTCATTTTCCTCCCTCTCTATAATGTATATACTTATTCATACATGTATATATATATATGTAGGAATAAATGAATATGTATGTGTATATATATATATATAGACATACATATGTAAATGAGCACCTCTGCACATAGAGAACGGATATGACTAGACTTGGGCCCCAACGGGCTGGCTGTGTCTGGAGCGCCCCTGGAGGGCCCAAGACGGCTCGGGAGGGCTCCAAGAGGGCCCCACGACCGGCCAAGAGAGCTCCAAGAGGTCTTCCAGACGGCCCAAGAGGGCCCCGAGTCGCTGAGCGATCGGTCTAAGACGCTGCAGGTAGCCGCGGCCCACGAGGCCTCCAAGACGCCCGAAGAGGCCTTCAAGAGCCCTCCCAAGAGAGCTCCAGTAGGCAAAGATCGTCCCACTCCCACTAGGAAATACCTTGTTCGCATATGCGACATTTCGGCCTTCAAGACGCCCACGACGCTTCCAAGACGCCCCAAGAGGCTTCCGAGAACATCCCACGGCGGCCCAAGAGGCCTCGAAGGGGGCTCCGCCACGCCCCAAGAGGGCTCCAAGACGGCCCAAGAAGCGCCCAAGACAGGCCAAGAGAACCCTGAGAGGGCCCAAGGGTCCAAGAGGGGGAACTCAAGTTTAGATTTCGAGCCCTCCGACCCACAGGGGCCCACGAGACCGCCAGCAGGCCCCTAAGACGGGTTCCAGAGGGAGAACTCAAATTGAGATTTCGAGCCCTCCGCCCCGCAGGAGCCCACGAGATCGCCAGCAGGCCCCCGAGGTGCCCCGAGAGGCTCCCAAGCGGCCCAAAAGAGTCCCAAAAGAGGCCCCCACAGGGCCCCGTACAGCCCCCAAGAGACTCCAAGAGGCTTCTGGACCGGACCCAGTAGCTTTGACCTCGAAACTCACAAACGACCGCGCGCCACAGCCATCGCAATCCGATCATACACCGAACCGACGAGCCAATTAGTACGGCGACGGTCAGACAGCCAATGGACATGCGCACATATGATACTTGAACACATGTAAATACATCTACATATGTATATACAAACACACACATATATACATATATATATATATATATATATATATATATATATTGTAGTGGCCTTCGGCCAGTGCCGCCGATCCGGGGCGCTCCGACTGATGTGATCCTTCTTCGCCCTCGCCCCTCCTCTCTTTTTCCCTCCCCTCCTCTCACTCAGCATTTATCCAGTGGCCGTCGGCCTATCCCGCCACCGTGCGTGGGTGGTGGGTCAGAGGCCTCATGGATGCTGGTTGGGATCTCGTGGTTGGCTGGGACTTCTGGGGGCCTCTTGGGCGCCTCTTGGGGCTTCTTGGGGGCCTCTTGGGCCTCTTGGGGCCACTAGAGGGCCTCTTGGGGGTCTCTTGGGAGCCTCTTGGGGCTTCTTGGGGGCCTCTTCTGCCTCGCCTCCTCGGAGCCTCTTGGTGCGGGAGGGGTGGTACTCGAGTTCGGAACCCCCTCGGAGGCCACGATCCTTGTGAGGGGTGTCAAAAAACGCATCCGCCGGAAACTCGCACCCCCCCCCACCCCCCCCACCCCCCTTCCCCGGCAGAGCCACCCCGGCAACCCCCCCAGAGGCTGAGGCTCAGCCTCGAGGCTGTAGCTGAGACTCCTTGAAACTCACACGCCGGATCGGCGGATATATATATATATACATATATATATATATATATATATATATATATATATGTATGTATGTATGTGTGTGTGTGTAAATGTAGGTGTGTGCGTATGTTCATCTACCCGAAATGCGGCCCTGGGGATTCCGAGGCCAAAGACCAACCACGGTTGCATATGAAAGGCCTTTGTTCCCCAGAACCTCCTCGGGGCGTCCCCAGAGCCTCCCCAGAGCCTCCCCGAAGCCCCCAGGACTCACCGTAGAAGTTCTGGACGTCCCAGATGGCTTGCAGACTGCTCCAGGACGGCCGAAGACGTCCTCAAGACGGCCCAAAAGGCCCCCAAGACGGCTCCAAGAGAACCGCCCAGGGCCCCGAGCTACTAAAGTCATCCCATTCCCGTGGTGAAGAGCATATGTTTAGAATGTTCACTTGTTTGTCCTACCAGCATCCCAGGCGGCTCAAAGAGGCCTCCAAGTCCGTCCCAAGGCTGCCGAAAAGGCCCCCGAGTGGGCCCCAAGGAACCCCAAATGGCCCCAAGACGGCCCAATAGTCGCCCAAGACGGCCCTGGAGTTGTATGCATGCTGGCTTTGTACGTATGCTTATGTTCCTTTCTGGTTTTGCTCGGCTGCGTTGATCCGCTGCTGGTAGTGCTGGTTGACCATGTGTAGCTTTCGTGTTTCACGTGCCATGATGTCATGTGCTGCTTCCATTTGGTCAGCAGGTTGCTATCAGTTTGTTGTAGTCGTTGTGCTGCCTGTACTGCGTACTGTGCTGCCTTGACCTCTCTGTCGAAGGATCCTGGCGCGCGTTCGCTCTGTATGATGTAAGAGGCGTAAGGTGCTTCGTGGTTCTCATGTTTCTGGGCTGAGCCTTGCTCCAGGGAGTGTACTTTGTGTTATGTTATCAATGTGTATGGTCTGCTTGTTGCATTTGGTAGTGTTGATGTAGTTGCTGGATCGTGTGCTGAGTGCCTTATTCGGTGGTTCTTTCAGCTTGACACACTGTAGAGTCACACTGTTCGCTTGCGCTGTGTCGCGGTTGGTTTCCTCGTTGCCTTTATTGTCCCCATACTTATTGTCAAATTGTTGCTACGGTATCATCCGTCTTCGAGTGTGAAGCAAGGCGTGGTTTGTGAGCAGTAACGAGGTAGTAGTTTTTAGCCTGAAGGTTCTAGAGTTGTGCGTGCTGTTGCACCGCTTGCTCCGTGATGCTCGCCGTGTGATAATAGATGTGCTCGTTCTGTAGGGTGACCTGGCCTCTGTAGCGTAGTGTTGTTTCTTCTTGTAGTGTTGTTTTCGTATCTGCATGTGGTCGTAGGACTGCGTGTCGAAGTGCTTGGTTGTGTTCTCTGGCCTCGTCGTTATTGGTGAATCGGGGGCCGCTGGCTTCTTGTAGCTGCTGTATGGTGTCGTATGCCGTTCGCAGTCGTGCCAGTGAGCCGTCTTCATGGGTCGTCGTCTTGTCTTGTTGAGCTGCTCTGAGCTCTCCAATTGTCCAGTCGTTGTGTCGTAGGCTGTTTGTGATAGTGCCTTCAGTCGGTGCATCTCGTGGTCGGTTCCCGCATCTTGCTTGGTGGGTGTGGTCGTCTTGAGTGGGTCAAGTGGCGGACGCTCTACTGGATAATTGCCGAGCTGTATGTCTTGTGCTCGTGAGTCAGAACCGGTTGTGTGTTGTCTGTTGCTGGGAAGTTCCCTCTCGTGGTTGGCGCAGGATTTTTGTCTTTGGGCTGTCTGATCTACTGAAGCTTCTCAGCGTCTGGCTGTTGGTCAAGAAGTTGCCTTTGATGACGGCTATCCGTTGTCGAAGTTGGTGTGCATGTTGGACAGCGCTTTCGATTGCCATTACCCCTGTAGCAATTCTGCGGAGTTCGTCTGCTTTTGTCGTATGCCAGGCTCTGGCCTGAATTGGTGTAGTTCCTGGCTTGTCGTTGTGTAGTACGTCGATTTGGTACGTTTCTGTTATGTCGACAGTGAGCCTTTGGTTTTCCCGAATCGTGTATGCCACGTGGTCGGAGGTGGCTCCGAAGTCTGGTTGTGGTACGAAGTCGCTGCTTCTCGCCGTGGGAGCTAACGGTTGTTGTGGTTTGTGTATTGGTGTAGTCGGTCGTGGCGGGCGCGGTGCGTGTGGTTTTTGGTTCCCAGAATGGTGGTTCTCTGACTGGCTGGTGGTATGTGTCGTCGTATTGCTGCTGGAATGGTTGCCGTGATGGCGTAGGGTACGTTAGTCTTTGGTGTGTTTGGTGGGTGTATCCCGTGTGGTCGATTGGTTGCCAGGTGTGTTCCTTTTCTTAGTTGGTGTTTGTGTTGTTGTTTGTTGTCGTTGTTGATGTTGTTGTTGTTGACGTTATCGTTGTTGTCGTTGCTGGTGCTGTTGTTGTGTTGTTGATGCTGGTGATGTCGTTGCTGTTGGTGTTGTTGTAGTAGTAATGGTTGTTGCTGTTGCTGTTGTTGTTTGTGTTGTTGTTGTGGTTGGTGTGTTGATGCTGGTGTTTCCCTTTTACCTTCTTGCGTGTGGTGCCTGTGCGTCGCTGCACAATGTGTCGGCCAAATGCCTCGGTGGTTGTTGCGCACTGGCGCTGGCCGAGCAGAAGTCGAACTGTGTGAAGCTGCTGCTGAAAATGTTGGTCATGTAGGGTGCGCGCAGATGCTACATGTAAAAGTGTACGTGCTGCTGCACGCTGTTCCCACTCGACGGTGCCAGGCAGGATTTGAAGTCGACGGAATCTTTGTGATATTGTGTGCAAGATGCTGCAGTGTAGAAGCTGGGTGGAGGTTGCTTGGCCAGCATGGCCGTGCAAGTGGTGCTTGTGCTGTCGTGCGTAGCCGTTGACAAAGACGTGGTGGTGCTAAATTGTGGTGCAGCGTGACGCGAGGGCGGGATTCAACAGGTACGAGTGTAAGAGTGAAGGGGTAGAAGTAAGATGTCAGGGTATGGGACGAACATATGTAATAGGTGCGGATGGGGATCTCTGTTTCGCGTTGCCGCTCGTCCGGCGCACTGCCACTGACGCGCATCAATCGCTTGGCGGTTCGTGGCTCCCTCCTCCTCCTCCTCCTCCTTCTCCTCCTTCTCCTCCTCCTCTTCCTCCTCCTCCTCTTCGAATCAGCAAATAGGACCTCGAGGGAAAGTGATAATGAGGCTTTTCGCCGTTCTCTGCCTCTCGCAACCCTTTCTTGGCACAGGGTCAGCCACACAAATTCGCGGGCGATGGGGATGGAAGCGGGGGGGGAGGCATTCAGGAGAGGGAGAGGAAAGGACATACAGGAGAGACACAGTGTGGCGATTCGGTGATTTCATGTCGATTCCCGTGCCGAGTGTGCACATGTCTCTAGTTTTTGGCACTGTTGAACAGTATTCGATTCTTGCAGGCCTAAAGCCGCAGATGGTGAGCATTCGAAATTCGAGCCCGTCGGGTTGGAATGAGACTTCCTGAGGGTCAGGACTTCAGCGAGCGCAACATGCCAGATGCATGGCTGGATTCCCAGTCACGGGCTCCAGCGCCCCTTTATCTCGAAGTAGGCGCACCGCTCCGTCAGGACGATGGAAGGGGGCGCACCCCGCAACATTATTCTATATCCTCCTCCCTCCATTTCCGCTCCTCTCCCAAGCCTCTTGGATGGTTCGCGTACGCTTCACGTCACATCGTTATTATTTCCCTTGTCTGTGCTCCTCCTCCGATACCTTATTTGCGCCCTTGTGATGCGCAGTTGCGTAACGTGCATGCACTTCCCCAGGATTCCCAGGGATGTCCCCACGGCTTCCAGAGCGCCGCTCGAGGGGCCCAGGGGGCCGCCGGGGCCCAAGACTGCGCGAGAAGCCGAGGACACACAGGGGGCAGGAGCAGCACAATCGCACCGCATGGCAAGAAACATCATACGTTTCATCTGTGTGCGTAGGTTTCTTTGACTTGCGTTCGGCGTGGAAGGTGGCACACATTTCGAAGGAACTGCAAATGGCAAGACACCCTTAGTTTCTTAGGCCTCGGTGCGTTTGGTTTCTTGTTGTGAACTTGCTTTACGTTAGCGATCAAGAAACCTCTCGGGTCAGGTTAATCCTCTGGTATCTTCGTTTGCAGCCGCAGTTCAAGAAACCAATCCCTGGACCAAGAAACCTCTGGATTTCAGGGCTGGGTTGCATAAGAGGGTTTCCTGTGGATTAGCACCCACTGTACTTGGCAAAACAATTTTCGCCAGAACTTTTGATAACATTGGCACTGCTTCAAAATCTCTGAACACTTGCCCCCCCCCCTCCCCCCGCCCCCTGCAGGACGCGGAGGGCGCCCTTGTGCACATTATGGCCGCCTGCCGGGGGGGAGGGGGGGGGGAGCGCTCCGCTCCGGGCGGCGCGCGCGCGCGCCCCTCCGCTCTGTCTGGTCGTCCGTCGGCACGATCGAAGTAGGTACGGAAAGTCTGGGCACGAAGATCGACGGCCCCTCGGGTCCTGGAGCCGGATTTGTTCACAACGGAGGGGATCGTGTAGGTTCGGGCCCTGGGGCCCTCACAGATCGCTCCAGCTCCAAGATGACGCAGAGAAATGGTGTACGGAGCTCCAGGCGTGATTGTTTACGATGTTATTTTTTCTGCAACGCCGAGGGGCAGCACCTATTCATGTTGCCCGGAACTCGTTGTCAGTGTCGCCGCGGACGCTGTCCATTTGAAGCAGAAGACCCATTGCCCAACAGCGGCCGTTGTCGGTTTTGGAAAACATTTGCCGTTGGGTATCGTGCCAAGTGTTTCCGTTGTCATTTCGGGCGTCCAGGACAAGCGGGGGAGACAGAGAAGGGCCAGCGGGAGGGTGTATCACCCACCCTCCCGTCTATTTGGGTTCAATCTACCCTCATTCCGGGGACGCACGTAAAGCTTTTCTTGGGTACTGCACCAGTCGGCCACTCGGATGGTGTATGTCTTTTGTGGTTCACACGGAAGCATGCCTCGTGGGAATCAGATCAGGGGGGCCAGGGTATTTGTACAAGACACACACACACACACAGAAACGCGCACATGTACACACACACACACGCACATGGCCAGCGGGGTTTCTGGAGTCCCAGCTGAAATTGTGCACGCACCGCGACGACCGGCCGCAGGTCGCCGCCCACATTGTTGAACGCTTTCGCTTCCAGGGGTCGCTGCAATCTCTAATCAGCGCGCTGGAGTGCGTGGACGTCACGGCCCCCCTCCCCCCTTCCAGGCGCGCTGGGAGTGAGTCGACTGATAGAGTATGGCTCACCACGTCTTTACAACGTTTTCTGCAACCTTGCCTCAGGAGCACGGTGTCGAGATTCGCGGGTTCAGCTGTTTCGAAGATTTTGCGCAATATGTGTGGTAAACGAGCCGACTTCGACGTCGGCGTCAGCTTCCGACGCGGGGGCTGGAACTTGCAGTCATTGTCGAGCCTTCATGGGTAGGAAGGTCGGGTCCGAGGTGCAGTTATCTTTTCCCTGCACAGCGTCCGCACGAGCAGATCTGCGGAGAGTGGCAGGAAATCCGCCATTGTCGTATCTTCGTAGGGTTCGCACGTGCAGGCAGCATGGGGATACACATGATAGGAACATCACTGAATGTTATATCACCGCAGTTTTGTGGTTCAACTGCTTGGGAAGGCGTAGCCACAGCCTCACGTCCTAACGCGTGAGGCGCCGAACGTCTGACAGATCGCAATCTTGACTCGCACTGCAAAAAACGGACTGTATCTTCATTCGGCGCGACCGGTTTCCCATTCACATTTCCGATGAGCGAGCAAGATGACCTCAGGCCGAGCGTGTACGCGGCACTGCAAAGGGCTGAGGAAGCAGCTCCCGCACGCGGACAGGCTTCTGGCGCTTCTGGCAGGCCCCGTTCCCGCACGAAGGGCGAAGAGACCTGGAGTCCCGCAGCGGGGGGTAAGAGTAAGAAGACGGAGCCTACAGAGTGCCAGATACAACAAAGTGGCCTGATGATGCATACCAGGAACCTACAGACTACCAGGAAACAGATGATGCAGATGATTCCTTTTTTCCAGGCCGAACACATGCAGTCGTTTCTCAGTGTGCAACGATTGCTTCAGAGACTGCCAGAGCAGCGGCACAAGCAGTACGAGGCCTCCAGCTTCAACGGGCTCCTGCGCCACATCATCCTGCCACCTAGCCTGTTGGAAGGGCGCATGGTGAGGGCCCCCCCTTGGAGGCCAAAGTGGTGGACCGCTGCTGGCACCAGCCGCGCCTCTCTTTGAGGAGGAAGGAGATCAAGCTCGAGGTGGAGAAACACATGGTCAAGGTTGCCAACAATATTAAATAGGCGATCCAGAAATACCTCACCACCGAGCGGTCGCTCGATAAAGTCGTGAATGGAGCTGCTGTGATTGATGCCTACTTCCATGATCCTGCACATCACCGCTACCCTGCCGGCGTACGGCCTTTCAAATCCCGGAGCGCAGCCAGGGAATTCGACGACCCGCGGGAATCGGCAGCGGAGCAACCTTGCAAAACAGGATCCCCGTGAGCCAGGGTACGACGTGTTGGTGCGTGCTCGCCCATTTCCACCATGAGTGAGTCCGCATCAGCAAGACGGTCTACGAAGGGGTTCTGGAGCGACACCTGGCAGCGCTCAGGCCTCCCTCCACCAAGCAGGCCTTCTACGTGGGCTGCACGGCGGATCCTGAGATCACAGTCCCCGGCGGTGGTGATAACATGGACACGGAGTCTAAACAAATGTCGTCCCCCATGGATGAGCCCGAGCGGCCACAAGCAAACGAGTTGCTAGTGCGCCGCCTGGCTGAAGTATTTTACGCCGGGGTGCACGACAAAATCCAGAAGACCATGGACATGATCAACAAAAAACAATAAAGGGAACATATGATAATAAGAAGAAACCGATTGCGGACGACAGCAAGATGAAGCCTGCGGAGATCTTCGGTGAGATCATAGGCCGCAAGGTTGTTGCGAAACTTCAGGGAAGACAGGCAGAAGACGACGACGTCGACGAAGCGCAAAAAATGGCGGATGCACTTGAGGAGGACAGAACAAAGAGAGCCAAGGAGACGCAAAGGAGGAACACAATCGAAGAAGGAAGAGCAGAGGAAGAAGGACATGTAGAAGTCAGAAGCCACCGGCTAAGGGGTCTCCCAAAGCCCGAAATTCAAAGGCAAGAGGGGAGAGAAAGGCGACGCAGAGGAGAAGGGCAAAGGCAACGTGAAGGACAAAGACGGCGGCAGAAGCGAGGGAAAAAGGATGGCCACATCATACTGGACGCGGCCAGGGAAAGGGTTCGCCTCCGCCCGGAGGGGCGGGGGAATGAAGACAAAGAACGCGGGGGAAAACTAGCGTGACAGGGGGCTGGTGGACGGCGCGCCGGGCCGCGCGGCTAAGAAGCGCGCGAGAAGGCATCTGGAAAAAGTGCCAAGCGTTCACAGAGTTGATAAGGACGCTGCAATGCCGTCGCGCCCGATTTGCGGCAGCGCGATTTGGGGCGTCGTTCAATTCTACCATCTCGCGGGCTGCCATGTCCCATCCGCTGGCTCTCGGGGGGGCTCGGCCGTAGACGAGCGCTCCAGAATCGCCAGCCATCCCGCATGGAGAATTTAGTTTGCGACCGCCGGGAGAAGTTCGGGGATGAAGTCAAGAGGCGTTGGGCACTGGGCAAAAGCAAAGGACAACCACAGAAGGCACCGTTTGCGAGCGAGCGGCCCCCCGGAAAGCCAGCGGGCCCAGCCCCGGGCCCCCGGCCGCCCCGCTGCCGAGTCCACGCGGCGGGCGCTGTCGAGGCAGCGCGGTCACAGCACGTTCGGGGCAAGTCTTTCTCCCGCGCGTGCCCTACGGCGCGGGTCGCTCGCAGCCATTTGCAGAGCGCGACATTGGCGGGGCCCCCAATGACACAGAGCCAGGGTTCACAGTGTTCACGAAGGACCAGTGCACTAGTGCTTGTCTTGAGATTACGAATGGCCCTGGCCATTGGGGGGCGCCGCGTCGACTCGGAGGTCTTTTTCGCGGCCGGGCGCGCGCTCTGCTCGCCGAGAAAGCTGCGGACCTGGAAGGCGACGCTGATTTCCAGAGGCGCCTCAACAGGTCCTTCCGCGTCGACGGGGCGGCACGGGGCGACAGATTGAAGCCCGCGCGCCAAACCCACAGAGCCGATGGGGACGTCGCGTTTCGGAATCTGCGCGCGGCCCCCAGGGGCGAGCAGAGGGGTCGCTCGCAGCCGGCGGCCGCCCAATAAGAGACCGCCCCGGGCGCGGTGCCGGCAGGGCGCACGCTGAAGTCGCCCCAGGAGTTCGCGCAGAGAGCTCGCTGGAAAATCGCCCCAAAGCCGCGCGGTCTGATGGCAGATTTCCTCGTTTAGATGTCAAGAATTCGTTGTGTCCTGGGGCTTCGAGCTGTCGGCTGGCGCGGCGGCGCAAGCCCCCCCGCCGGGGCTGCGCCGAGACGCAGTCTATGCAGTGTTCTCGTGGCCACTGGAGAACCAATTCGCCGCGCGCGAGCGCGCCTCCGGCCGCGCGCGGCAGGTGCCGAGAGGATTCGGGAACGAGCCTTCCCCATCCAGGCCTTCCTGCCGAGGCTGCGCTTTTTGCGCCTGTCGAACAGCAGCGGGCCTCTGGAAGCGAGGCCACTCTGGAGTTTCATGCAGAATCAGAGCCGATTGCAGGTTCCAGGGCGACGTCGCGGCAGTAGCCCGGCGCGCCGATGTTGAAAATTACATTGCCGCCCACTGCGTCTAAGGGTGCGCCCAGTCTCGGGCGCGGCGCATTTTCGAAGCAATTCTTGAAAACAGTTCGACCCTCGAAACGGTTTTCCCCAGCTCGCCTGTTCCCCAGCGGTCTGGTCAGATTTGCGCGGCCCCGAAGGCTCGGGACGTGGGCGGCCCTGCTCTCGGCAACATTTTCAGCCGCAACTCCCAAGGCCCCAGCTGGAATGGCGCGCGCGCCGCGACGACGGCGCAGGTCGCCGCCCGAATAATTGAACGCCTTACCTCCAGCGGTCGCCGCAATTCCTGATCGGCGCGTTGGCGCGCGCGGGCGTCGCGGCCCCCTTCCCCCCTTCCAGGCGCGCCGGGGGCGAGTCGACTGCCGCGGCGTGGCCCACCGCGTCTTCTCACTTTTTCCCGAGACCTTGCATCGGGAGCGCGTCGTCGAGATTTGCGGGCTCAGCTGATTCGAAGATTTTGCGCAATATGGACAGTAGCAGAGCTAACTTCGACGTCGACGTTAGCTGCCGACGCGGGGGCTGGAGCTCGCAGCCGCCGTCGAGCCCCCGCTGGAGCTTGCAGTCGTTGCCGAGCTTCCACGGGCAGGCAGGCCGGGGCCCAGGGTGGAATTCCCATCCCATGCTGGGAGCGACCGCACAAGAGGACCCGCGGAGAGAGGCCAGGGGCGAAATGCGCCAAGCCGGCGCCTTCGCAGGATTCGCGCGCGCAGGCAGCAGGGGGAGGCGCTTGATAGAAATATCGCTGAATATTCTTTCATTTATCACCGTAGCTTTTCTGCGCAGGCGCCTGGGAATGCGCGCCCACGGCCTCGCGCCTTAACGCATGAGGCGCCGAAACATTGACATGTCGCAGCCTTGGGTCGCGCTGCAAAAGAGTTCGGGCGCGCGAAGATCGACTGCCCCTCAGATCCCGGGGTCGCATTTTGTCGCGCAGCGGGGGGGGGTCGCGCGGCGCCGGGGCCCGCGGCCCTCGCAAATCGACCCGGGTCAAAGATGGCGCAGAACATCGTGCACGGAGCTCCAGGCGTGATTGTCTGCGATGTTCAATTTGTCTTGCAGCGTCAGATCTCAGGGGCAGCTCTGATTAAGTGCGCACGGAACTCGCCGTCGGCGCAGCCGCGGGCGCTATCCATTTGAAGCGGGAAGTCCGTTGCCCAAGGGCGACCATTGTCGGTTTTGAACAGCATTTCCCTTTGGGCATCGCACCCAGCTCGTCCGCGCCCGCCCCGAGCGCCCAGGGCCCGCCGGGGAGTCGGGGAAGGGCCGGCGGGGGGGCGCATCACCCGCCCCCCCCCCCTGCCCACTTGGATTTATGGGATGCTTTCGCCGCGGTGTCGCACGCGAAGCGCTTTTTGGATGCTGTACCGGGCGGCCATTCGGAGGGCGCCTGCCCCTGGTTCACATGGAAGCACGCTGGGAGACTCGCATCAGAAGGGCCAGAGCGTCTGCACAAGACAGACACACACACACGCACCCACACACAAAACATCTCGAGCATGGGGAGCCCGCGCAAAATTAGTCAAAGTGGTTCATAGGGGCTCTCTTGAAGGGCCAGCGGGGCGGCGCATCAGAAACCTTCCTAACCTGGAACATATGTAATACAACGCATAAATCTTCACCGGAAGACCAGGGTGAGGGTCAAACTACCACAGCTGCGTGCGCTGGATGCGCCCCGCCTACGGGCATACCGTACACTTGTAGGGAAGCAGAGCAATTTCGACACGACGACCTTCACCACGGACAATGAAGTTCTTTGGCGAGCCAAGCGAGTCTCCATCAAGCACGTCATGCGAAGGCGCAGGTTAATCAATTTTGGGTCCTTGTTCGTTAATGCACCGACTGCTTTATTCTTTTTAGTTGATCGCCTTGCGCATGAGGAGGGCCCCTGGGCATCACTACTCACACACGACTTTGACTGGCTATGTACGTATGCAAATGATGCGACGATTGGTGCTCGTACGCTACACGACTGGTTCAAGTTTGCCTCAATGCACCAGCGCGAGTACAAGTTCTTAGTCAATCGTGTTTGGCGGAACTGGTCACCCATCGAGCTTGATCGTTTGCATGCCAAGGTTTAGGAGGCCAACTTATTACGAATTGCGTCAAACATTGATTTACTGGTACCTAGGTACCTATGTTACACATGCGGAGCTACATTGGCCACAGTTGCTGCATGGCGACAGCCTTCGATTGCCAGCCCCACTCGGCAAGTTTCAACATGGGCGTCCAAGGGGCTTGCATCCTTCTCGCATGCTTACTATAAGTTTTGAGTGTAAATGTTTGGGCTCCAGGCGATGGTTTGTGTGCACAGCGTGCGCGAGGGCAAGAGTCCGAGGCTGGCGACCAGGGCTCCCAGCAACGCCACGAGGCGTTCAGGAAAGCCTGAGACGGCAGTGCAAAACTCCAAGATGTCGCTACTTGGCCCGCAAGGCTCTTCGTCCCACCTTTTTCATTCCCCTCCTCCCTGTTTCTGTCTGAGCCTATCCTCTGTTCCCCTCATCTCCCTTCAGTGATCTGATTCACTTGCTTTTTCCTTATCATCCGTTCCATCAGCACCACCATCAGCATCACCATCGTCATCTTCATCGTCATCATTACCATCACCATCACCATCAGCAGCCTCAGCATCCGCAGCATTATCATCATTATCGTCATCATCATCAGCAGCATCACATCATCATCAGCATCATCATCATCATCACCAGCTTCGTCAGCATCGTCATCATCATCGTCGTCACCAGCATCATCATCATCAGCAGCAGCATCATCAGCATTGACACCACCATCATCACCAACATCACCATCATCATGCCTTCAATCGTGACAGTATGACTATGAATGAACGAGTGCGGATCACGCATATTGACGCTGTTCTGCGGGGCGACGATTGACACAGCGGCCGACTGAGCGAACCGAGCTGAAGCGTATAAGTGGCGCCTGCACGTTGCCAGCTGGGAGACCGGGGGGGAGATGGGAGGAACAGGGGCGGGGACAGAGAAGGAGGAGCGCGGGGAGGGAGATGAGGATGAGGACGAGGAGGAGGTTCTCAGGAGGATGAGGACGAGAGTGGGAATGAGGACGAGGTGATGATAATACAACGTTGTACCCACGAGGTCTCACACATGCTGTCGGACGGCGCGTCCGGCATGCCGATCTTCGCGGACCTGGCCCAGATCGTCGCGGCCCTGGAGGACGCCCGTCGCCAGGGGGTGGGCGAGGCAAGGAGGGGAGCGGCCTTCAAAGGAGCCAGGCCCAGACAGACTCGCGTCGCGAAGTCGGAAAAAGCAAATAATAATAATCATAATCATAATAATAATAATAATAATAGTAATAATAATATAATAATAATAATAATAATAATAATAATAATAATAATAATAATAATAATAATAATAATAATAACAATAACAATAATAATAATAAATAAATACATAAATAAATCAATAAATAAATAAGAAGAAGAAACATTCTGATAATCGGAGGCTGGGGGGTGAGATCGCAGCGAGACGGAGACCCCCCACCAGGAAATCGGTTTCGGTTTCGTGTTCATGTCGCGCGTGCGGGCGAGGCGAAGCTGCACGTGATCCCCCTGTAGCTAGGCCGAAGTAGGAGCGAAAGTCCGTTCCCGTCCCCGGTGGCTGGGAGGTGTCCCAGTTTGGCCGGGCGGTGTCCCTGGTGTCCTGGGTGTCAGTAGGAGCGAAAGTCCGTTTCCCGTCCGCCGGTGGCCGGGATGTGTCCCAGTTGGGCCGGGCGGTGTCCCGGGTGTCCCAGGCGTCCCAGCGCTAATGCATGTCGCTAATTTCATAATTCATTGTTGTCGGCGCTTGCGGCGGGTTTGTTATCCAATCCAGCTTATCTTATCCAATTCATCTTGTCCAATCCAATCAATCTTTTCTTATCCAACCCATATTGTCACATCTTACCACATCCCACCCAATCCAATCCATCCAACCCAATCCATCAATTAATTTGTTTCTGCGCCTGCGGCGGGCCAGCCCAATCCGTCTTATCTTATCCAATCGACCTCTTCCAATCCAACCCATCTTATCTTTTCCAATCCATATTATCCCATCCAGTCCAATCCACCCAACCAAATCAATCAATTCATTTTTGTCGGCGCTTGCGGTGGGCTTTCTTATCCAATCCAGTTTATCTTATCCAACCCATCTTGTCCAATCCGATCCATCCTACCTCATCCAACCCATGTTGTCCCATCTCATATCACCCCACCCAATCCAATCCATCCAACCCAATCCATCAATTAATTTGTTTCTGCGCCTGCGGCGGGCCAATCCAATCCATCCTATCTTATCCAATCCATATCTTCCAATCCAACCCACCTTATCTAATCCAATCCATATTATCCCATCCGATCCAATCCACCCAACCCAATCCACGGAGGTCCGTCAGGGTGGGAACCGGGTCTCAATCCCCCCCAACCTCCTTATCGCCCGCAGGGCGTTCGCATAGGTAATAATAGTGATCATTATTTGTATAGGTATCTTTTTAATAATGGCAGTAAGAATAATAGTCATAGGAATGATGCCAATGATAGTACCCATAACAGTAACAACAATAACAATAGGAAGCCTGGCGGATTTGGGGGGGCCCACGGTTGCCCGAGCGCCCCGGGGAGCCCGAAAAGACATCGGAGGGTCCCAGGAGGGCCCCAAAACGGCACCGGAGTTCCCAAGAAGAGCCCCGAGTTGGCCCAAGGAGGCCCCGAGACAACAAAAGACGCCCCGAGATGACCCAAGATGGCCCTCCGACGGCCCAAGATGCCCCGAAGGCGGCCCCATAACCCGCCAAGACGCCCCGAGACAGTTCCAAGGGGACACTTTACAGGGCGCCAACAGGGCGAAATCGTAGATAGTGAGATTCTCTCGCTCTCACACCCCCTTTCGCCCCCACCCCCCAGAAGCCCAGCGCATCGCCCCCTCCGCCGCGACCGCTTTATTTCGGCGTCGTCGCACCGCCCTCACCCCCTCTCGCACCGCCCTCACCCCCGCCCCGGCCCCATCCCCTGCATCCCCAGCATCCCAGTGATATTCGGCGTCGCGCCGCCCCCTCCGCCGCGACCACTTTATTTTGGCGTCGTCGCGCCGCCCCCCCCCCTTGCACCGCCCTCCCCCCTTACCGTCCCCCCCTCCCCGGCAGCCCCGTGCTCTTTGGCGTCGCACCGCCCCCTTCGCCCCGACACTTCATTCTCTTGCACAGGGTGTCTAGAGTTCCGACCACTTTGTTCCGCGTCGCGTCGCCCGCCCTCCCCGCCCCCATCCCCCCCCCTTCCCCAACGTTCACCCGCGCGCAGCCCAGTGGAACCACCGCCCACTGTTTCCCCCGCCCCGTCCATTCTACGTCGCGTCGCCCCCCGCTCCCCGCCCCCCCCCCTCTCCCCAGCGTTCCCCAGCAGCCCAATGGAGCCGCCCAGTGCCTCTGACGCCCCGATCACTTTATTCCGCGTCGCGTCGCGTCACCCCCGCAGCGGCCCCCCGCGGCCCCGTGGAACCCCCGCCCAGTGCCCCTTTTTTTTCCGCCCCAACACTCTGATTCCACGTCGCGTCGCACCCCCCCTCTCTGCACCCGCCCCCCCTTCCCCGGCGTTCCCCAGCGGCCCCGTGGAAACTCCGCCCAGCGCCCACTCCGCCCCAACCAGCGTTCCCCAGTGGCCCAGTGGGCAGAACCCCGCCCAGTGCCCCCCCCGCCCCGACCATGTTTCTCGGCGTCGCATCGCACGCCCCTGCCTGCCCCCGCCGCCTTTTCCCCTTCCTCAGCGGCCTTGCCCTGGGCCCGGCCCTTCCCAGCCCCCCTCGCCCACACCCCTTGGCTTCCCTAAACCCGCCCCGTGCCCAGCCCTCTCACCCCCCCCTTTGGCCTCCCGTTCGTCGTCCTCCCACCCGCCCTGGCTTTTTTGTTTCCGTCATCGTTCGTTCGTCGTTCGTCGTCGTCGTTCGTTCGTCCGTCGTTCGTCCTGCCCCCTGCCCCCCTGGCTCTGCCCTGGACCCAGCCCCCCCCTTGCCTTTGCCCTGGGTCCATCCCCCTTGCCCTCCCCCCCTGGCTTCCCTGCCCCCCCTGGGCCCCTGGCCTGGCCCTGGAACCAGCCCGCCCCCTTGCCTGTGCCCTGGACCCAGCCCCCCTCGCCCCCCACCCTCCCTTGGCCTCCCTGTCCCACTCGTTCGCCCTCTCCCCTGGCCCCCTCTGGACTTTCCCGCTGTGTTCTAGACTTCGGACATGTTTATTATCCTGCACAGCTGTGTTCTAGAGTTCGGACCCCATTATTTTCGCTCGTCGCTCGTTCGTCGCTCGCCGTTCGCCCCCCCCCTTGGCCTGGAGGATGGAGGTGAAAGCCTCCTGCCCCTCGCGGCTCTTCGGTGCAAGAACCAGGGCACGCGCGCCACTTGTTTGAGTCCGCGTAGGACCGCGCTCTACTCACCCCGCTAGACCCCCCAGCAACCCTCGTAAAGCGGCGACAGTTTCGCAGATCGCAGCCCCCGAGGGATGGCGAGGTCTGACTCGAGTCCGCGCGGGATGTCACTCCGCTGGACGCCGCGCCACCCTTCGAAAGTGGCGGCAGCTTCGCAGATCGCAGCCCCCCAGGGGTGGCGAGTAGGAGACAGGGTGGAAGGCAAGTAGGAAGGATGCGAGGAGAAGGCGGGCGGGGGGAAGGAGGCGGAGACCGCAGTGCACGATCCAAAACACATTCCCAATGCAGGAAGGCCGGTGAAAAGGCAAACGCGACTCGGCGCAAAGGGCGCTTGGCGGGCGCCGCGGAAGTCGCGGTAAATAAAGGCAGCGGCAAGAATAGAAGAAAGAGTAGGCGCCCGCCGGGTACTGCAACATGCACCTTAGTAAGATATCCCACCGAAAAGAGATGCACAACACTATTCACACGATGAGGCCCCGCCCTTCGCTTTTGCAGGCGCATGCTAAAAAAGAAAAATGTAGCAGGCGGCTGCAGGATAGAGCGTCGCATCGGCAGGTCAGGGTGCAATCTATTAAGACAAGTGGGCAGATTGCTCGCGCGTCCGTTAGCAGTGCACGCCATGATAGGCAGGCAGCGTGCAATTCTTGGGCTGATACTTTTAGTCAGCATGCCCCTCCCGACCCAACCAGCCAGCGCAACGGCCCCCACCTTCCACGATCACCTGGAAGTGTCAAGCGCATGCGAACTTAGGCCGCGACCTTCAACGTAAGGATCTGCGCTGCCATGGAGCAGGCAAAGCTCGCGCAACGCTTAGGCTGCCAGTGTTAAAGTGCGAGGGCCAGAGTTGAAAGAGAGAAAGGAGAGATAATCACAAGCATGAAGAAGTGCGCGCAGGAGAAGGGTGCAAGGCTGGCTATGTGGTTGCAGCGGCGGGCGTCTAGCATGTGACTTGATACTGTACAGGAGGCTGGCCAAGTCGGCAGTGGCTGGCCTTGTGGCAGCTGCGTGAGAAGTCCATCTGGCCTATAGAGTCCCCCCTTTATGCCAGAAACGGTGCCCCTTGGTGGAAGGGAGCACCCTCGCCGTCTTGTAGCCAGGAGTTTAAGGAATACGCAGGGGGTGGAGCGTGCTGCACAGAGTGAAGCAGGTGGCGCAATAATGCGGCAACGTCATGCCTCTGCCTCCTCCACCGGCTCGCGCGCCACTGCGCCCGCCCGCCACAGATCGCCTGGAACGTGCCAGGTGCCTGCGAAGTGTGGGTCGCGATCAAAAACGGAAGTATGGTGCTGCTCTGCCTGTTAGCGTAGATGCGCCAAGGCCCGAATGCCAAAGCTAGAGCTGAAAGGGAGGCATGCCGCGAACATTGTAGACGGCGGCTCCATGATCGGGCGCCGCCGCGGCAGGTCAGGGCGCGCGCGCAGAACGCGCGGGCAGATTGCTCACATGGCCGTTAGCAGTGTTCAAAGCAATACGCAGGCGGCGTCGAGTTCTTGGGCAGCTACCTTTAGACAGCATGCCCTTCCCCCGCGAGAAGTCAGCATGCGCCTGCCCGCCCCGTTCCCAATCCTTCCGCGCGATGGCGCGATTCTTGGGCTGCTACCCCGGAAATAAAAAAGGTCACATGTGAGGGCATGGGTGAGCAACGTTGCAGCCTGATGGGAGCAAGAGTAGTCTCTGTGCGCTGGCCTGTCGGCGCGATGGCTACGGCCTGGCGCGCAACGCAATCCGACCTTCTCCTGCCCCCCCCCCCCCTCTACGCCGTCACCTCCA